TCTCCCTTATGAAAGTGAACGGTAAAGATGATTGATGGCGTGGATGGATGTGGAAAATCGATGGATAATGTCCTATCGAGCCCTCCTAGTCGCAATGAAAAGGCAAATACGATAATATGGCTCTAACCAACCCTCCTAGTCGCGATGAAAAGGCAAATTGGAGTGTGAAGATTAATCTCCCTCACAAGAACTTGAAAGAACTCCAGGAGAAGAAGCTTCGAAGGCACAAGGCAATCAGCACTTGCAAAAACAAACTCTTGTTGTATTATTGATCAAAGAAATCTGATTTACAAAATTGAATGAAGCCTCCTTTATATAGGGGCTGAATTCTAAAGGTCCTAAATAACTAAAGAATAAAATATTAATAAACTAAACATGTTTTAACTCTAATTCCTAATAAAATAATAACTAAAAATATTGTTTTAACCCAACCTTAATTCTTAATAAATAATAAATCTGATCCTAAAAGATAATTAATCATCCTATATTAAATTATATTACAAATAATCAATATAAATATTGAAAATTCGTAATATTTACAAAATAACGTATTAATCCCGTATAGGATTTCCTGCATGCACCGTCTTCAGTAAAATGACCATATCTTGAGTTCCCGATATCGGATTGATGCGATTTAAGAACCGTTGGAAAGATAAGAGACAGACGGTTGTATCTCCAGAAGACATATCGACCGGATAACAACTGGATCCCCTTAAAAAAGTTGTTGCAAATCTGCTGCTATTAGACCCTTCCGGATGAATGCTTGAACTGCGATTTGAAGCTTGTCTTTAATAAGTTTGGTCCGGCCTCGTGTGATAGGGCCAAGTGGTATAGTAAATTCATCATCCTTAGCTTTAGGGCGTGTGGTGCATGTATCAGAAAAGTTGTGGGTTTTGAGATTGTGTTTGGTATTGGAAATGTAGTGAAACAAAATTTGCTTGGTGATGAAATTGTGGTGGAACCATTAAATTTTGAGCACCATAAACTGGGGTTGAAAAACTTAGTTGATTACTACCCGCTATTGACCCAACTTCACTACTTCTAGGTTCAACAACATACAATGTAACAACATCTTGCGAATCACTAATGTAAGCAATGAATCGTTCAACATCTTCATTGTCGGTTAACAAATAAACTTTACCTTTTCTCTGATAAGATAGCCTAAATCCACTTAGGGGCTCTAAATTCAATTTATTTGCAACACGTAACATTAGAGTTTCATAAGTTAACTTTTTCAATGACAGTTTTAGTTGAAGATTCATGGGTAAAGGCATATATTGTAAAACACCATGAACATTCTCCCATGACCCTCCAAAACACAAATTTATCCAAACATGATCAACATTAGATGATTTCATTATTGTAAATTAATTTACTAAACAAACGAGCTGCGAAACTAAAACTTGTTGCCGGATGGGAAGGACGTCGTTGGATATAGGAACGGATGTCGCCGGAGAGAGTGATAGATGGAGATGGAATGAGTTGCGATTTAGGGATTTAGGTTATGAGTTGTTGCTGCTGCGTAGTTATATACCCAAAACATTTGTGTTGCGAAACTAAAACCTGTTGCGACAATCAGAATCGCGTTGCGATAGTCAAAATCGAGTTGCGATTATGTATTATCGCATTGCGATAGTCAGAATCGCGTTGCGATTATGTATTATCGTGTTGCGATTATGTATTATCGCGTTGCGATAGTCAGAATCGCGTTGTCATTATGTATTATCACGTTGCGATAGTCAGAATCGCTTTGCGATTTACATATTCGCATTGCGATTCGCATTGCGATTTTCTAAAATCGCAATGCGATAGTCAAAATCGTGTTGCGAATCTGGAAACTGATTTGCGATACTGGAGATCGCGTTGCGATTTAGAGATCGCATTGCGATTTTGTTAGTCATTTTGGCAAATCGAAAAAAAGTTGATCAAAATCGTATATTATAAGGAATTTTCGGTCACTGAGGGTATTTTCTCCATTTTTTATTATAATGCAACACTTTTTAAGTAAAATTTAGGGAAAATTTATATTTCAGAATATGTTTTTTATTGAAATAAGAAAACTTTTTATTAGTTTGAATTAATCTATTTTTTTAATCAAAAAGAAAGAAAAAAAAAACCAAGCTACTCAAGATTACATATTTTACTGCCAGGGACCAGTGGACTCCTGGTAGTATGCCGCAAGAACCTTCCTTGGTGGCTGCTGGAAAATTTGAACATCGAAACCAGCCCAGTGAGTTATCTTGGCCATTCCGTCTGCGATTGTGTTGTTGCTTCTATCTCCGTGCCTGAGAGTTATCCTCTAATTCCGCTTTAACAAATCGAAAATGTGAGACACCAAAGAGGATCCACCCCATCGACCCCCGTGTTCATCCAAAACCGCCAGCGCTTATCCAATTCAACGATAACAGCTGCAATTTGCATATTCCAGGCCAATTTAAGTCCTAATATCCCCATCGTTCAGCGTATAACACCGAACAAGCTTCAATAAATTTAGCGAACCCCAAAACCCGTTTACCGTCTTCATCTCTAAGTACTCCCCCGCATGCTGCTGTCCCAAAACTAGTGTGCCTTGCGCCTTCAGAATTTAACTTAACCCACCCTCTCGAAGAGCTTGCCACGTTCCTTCAATTTGGTTACTCGAAACTCGCTGCACCTGCCTTGGACACAAGTATGTACTATAAACCACCATTTCATTGACCAGCCGATTACTTCGCTCCAAAATGCTTTCACCTGCAACAAACTCCTCTTAAAAATCAGACTGTTACGCCTTGTCCATAAGTTCCAAACAATGGCTCCGACCCTCAAATCCCAATGCTCATCACTGCAAGAGAAATAACCAGGTTGGGTAAGATTGCGTTGGATCCATGAAAATAAATCCATGCTCATAAATTCCCTATATCGCTCCAATCTCACAACAACCTGCCAAGTCGATTTTGCTGCAGGACACTCCCTTAATACACGAGATGTCGATCCGGTAGCTGCGCCACATATCACACAACTAGCAGTCGACGAGAAATGTCTCCAAACCCGTTCTTCATTCGAAAGCAACCGTCCTTTACAAATTAGCCAAAGTAGCATTTTGATCCGAGGAAGCCCTTTATACTTCGTTATGAAATCCCATGAAACCGTGGCTTGCTCCGAAGGCAAAGGAGCAAGTCTTTCATACGCACTTTTCGTCGTAAAACGATGATTAGATTCCCATTTCCAACCAGGCTTATCCATGCCACCATTCGAAAACGGGGTGGTACTGCTGCAATAAATGGCAGCTCCGTGGGAGGGAGTAATGCTTCCAATGCCGACCAGTCCCAATTCCTCTTAGGGGTCACCCATTCAGTCACCTTGGACTGAGCGGGAACTACATGTCCAGTTGACATGATAAATTTATCTGAAGACCCCAAATCTCCTAGCCAATTATCTCGCCAAAAATCTACGGTCATGCCATCTCCGAGATTCCACACAAGCATATCCCGAATATCTTCCCAAAGTGAGCCCAATTAATCCATTTTTTCATTTTAATACAAAATAATTATAAAAAGGTTTAATATAAAATAAGTGTTTAAATTGTATATTTTTTCTTATTTAGGTGTCTAAATTATATTTCGACTAATTTAGGTGTCTAACGTTTTCAATGTTAAACTTTTAGGTGCTTAAACAGTTATTGTTGTTAAATTATATCGTTAAATGATACGTGTGACCTTTATAAAATTTTAAATTTTAAATTTTAAAAAAATGAAAATTTTAAAATTATCTGAGTGTGACATGTGTCACTTAAGGCAAAATTTAACACTCGTCACGGTCAAGGCATCTAAAAGTGTAATGTTAGAAACGTTAAACACCTAGATTGTTTGAAAAAATTTAGGCACCTAAATTGAAAAAACGGTATAGTTTGTACACTTATTTTTATATTAAGGCTTATAAAAAAGAGAAATATACTTTAGATATAATTGAACTTTAATCGTTGACTCGTTTATATCACTAAACTTTAAATTTTACCAACATTAATTTTACATTGAATTATATAATTACACTGTTAAGTTAGTAAGGAAACAATGGCATGATTAACAATTGATGTCACACCAAAATGATATAGTATTGGTGTGGTTATTATGATGCCTAAAACGGTTGTCAAACACCGTTCGTCATCGATTATATTTCGCGATAAGATCGATATTAAAATATATGTATTTCACTCCTCTTTTTCCTCCTAAGATTATTTTTCACGGAACCCACTTAAAATCGACGAAAAAATCATTTAAAAGTTTGGCATATTAATACTCTTATCTATTTTAATGATCATCTGCGAGGTTAGTTTTAAGGTATATTGGTTGTCGACAGTAACCAGAAAGTACAATTAGGGGTGTTAAAAAAATTTGTAACCATTAACAGGTATAACCGTTATATTTAATATGTTACTTAACTGAACCATTAATATTAAACGAATTCAATTAATTGAACCGCTAAAAACGATAGGGTGACGGTTAAAGTTACGGTTACAAATTTTGATAAACAGTTAACCATTATTATAATTATATTTCTAATTTATTATATTTTTACAAAAAATAACTTAAAATAATTTTCTATTATTTATACTTTATATATTTTTAATAAAAATTGTATATAAATAACTTAATATATATTTTTTTTTTATTTTTTTAAAAATATAGAAACATACTTATATTAATATAATTATGTGTTTATTGTTAGATATTAAGATATTGTGAGATGTATATATTTATACGATATAAATATGTATTAAGTGCTACACTTTTTTATTTTATTCATTTACATTACATTGGTGTAAATATATGTTAAGTGTTAACAATTATTAATCATATCACCGTTTCATTAGTGCATTAACAATGAAGTAACATAATTAAATGTAAACATAAAATTTAGTATTATAATTGATTAAATAGTAATTGAATTAGTTTTCCATTAAAAATTATTTAACGAAAATGATACCAATCAAACTGACCTAATTAAACTCAAACCAGACAGCCGTAAGCACTTCCAACCTTGAGTGTGAGGTGATTCGATCCGGTGGTAGCGTGGAGAGAAAAATGGAATCAAGCGAAGAGGACGGTGGAGTGCCACTTAGCCGGATGGCGGAGTGGCGTGATGTGACGCCTCTTCGTCAAGACGACGGTCCCAACCCAGTCGTCCCCATAACTTACAAGGAAGAATTTCGTGAAACCATGGATTACTTCCGCGCCATTTACAAGGCCGACGAACGCTCCCCTCGTGCTCTTCGCCTCACTCGACGAGCCATCCATCTTAATCCTGGCAATTACACTGTAATTTTTTATATATATGTATTTGTTGTTCTGATGGCCTCCTTTTCGACGATCAAAATCTGTAAATCTTTGTTGTTTGTTGTGTTTATGAAGGTTTGGCATTTTAGACGACTCGTGCTCGAGGCACTTAATACCGATCTGGACGAGGAATTGGATTTTATTCAACGGATTGCTAATTCTAACTCTAAGAACTATCAATTATGGTAACTTGCATCTTTCAATTTAATTTCCTCCTGTTTGTTTATTCATACATGAAAAATGTTTTTCTTGAAATTTGTTCATAGATTCTGTTCATTTTGGGTTAATTCTATGCCGATCCTTGAGATATATAATGATTGATTTGTCGGTGTTTGATAAGGTTATGTGTCAAACTCGAGTTTGCTTAAAAATTTTCTCGAGTATTTGGAAATTCATGCTCTTGGATCTATGTCAAACGCAAGTGCCAAAGTATTATTTGGAAAATTAAAGTTTTGGTAACTTAGAATTCCCCTTTTTGATCTTCAAAATATTATAAGTGAAACTATGACTTGTTATAAATTTTGGATTGCAGATGAATTTTTACGATTTATTTCTTCCACTCATGAGTTTAATGTTTGAGATTATATGCTCCGTGTTTCACAAATAATAGCTCCGCAAACATGCATGTTTATGTGCTAATTCTTATGATTTTATTGCTGCCAGTGATGATTTTAATGTTTGAGATGATATGCTCTGAGTTTCACATTTCATAGCTCTGCCAACGTTTGTTATGTGTGCCAAATGTATGCCCAATTTATTACGGAAATGGTTATTGAATATTGACCAAACACAATGCTGTTTGAATTTGTGGCGAGATTATAAACTTTGAAGTATGGTCCTGTGATTTTTCTGAAATACTCGACCGATATTCAATACATGCACAGACAGTGTTGATCCTTTAAGGAACTTCCAAATACATGAAAATCTTGGAAAAAATATTAAACATAATTGCGTGAGACGCAACCATGTCCAACACTTACACTTGAGTCCATGTAGCATAACTTAAGTCAGTTTAATTGATTTCAGATTCTATAATCTTGTTATTCTCCTTATATCCATTACACGGTATTTGTTTTTTGTAAAATTCTTTAGGCACCATCGGCGGTGGGTTATCGAGAGATTGGGATCTAATGCTAGAAGCAAGGAACTTCATCTCATTAAGAGTATATTGTCACTTGATGCGAAAAATTATCATGCCTGGTCACATAGGCAGGTTGGCTAAACATCTATTGTAGATTATAATCATAAGAATCTTTTGAAACCTCTTGACTAAAACATTAATTAATCCCTTGAAGTACTTCATTTGTTTAAACAAGATCCTAAACTTTATTGTATTCAAATGAGCTCTTATCCTTTTATTTGCATCTAAGTAAGTTTGGTTCCAAATGAAAGGTAGATTTATGTTAAAGGGTTTATTTAGGTATAAGTTAAAGATTAGGGGGCTATTTGAATAAAAGTTAAAGTTAAAGTTAAAGGTTAAGGTTTCTATAGGTATGAATTAAAAGTCGAGGGTTTATTTTGGCACAAAAGTATAAAATCTTATCTAAATAAAATGGTCAAGTTCAGGGATCCGTTGATTATTCTAGTCAAAACTCTTTTATTTCTTTATTTTTGTAGTTTATTTGAGAATCAAAGTTAAATTGTAGTTTTCTTTTTGTTGAGTGTAGTGGGTGCTTCAGGCATTAGGAGGCTGGGAAGATGAGCTTGATTATTGTCGGCAACTTCTTGAACAAGATATCTTCAATAATTCTGCTTGGAATCAGGTATAGTTCATTGTTCTGCTCTATGTTAACCAGACTCGGGGGTGAGTGTTTGATGTGATTATGTATCCGACTTGACTATACTCGAATTCATATAAATTTTCCAATACATTTGTAGAATTATTCCTTCATTCCCATGTTAGAGTATGTGTTGGACATGGATGTTTTAGAGAAATGAAGAATTTGGGCTCCATTGATCCCAACAATACATATGATTAGGTATTTCAATGGGTGGCTTTTTGTTTGCTCCGACTTTAACCCGAGTTTTATGTATATATGCTCAGACCCATCTGAAATTGGATTTATTTAAAAACTTAAGCTCTGACCTTGACTCATCTCACTCTAAATTTTTACACAATACTTTATGTTATATTAATTTTTATGCCCTGCATCAAACCTGATTTTCGTAAAACAACTGCTCCGATTGGTATGGGTTATTCTGCCAACCTTATATATGATGTCACTGATAATGCGCTATCTGCCATGATTCGTATGAAGTTCCATTAATTAATTCATACCCTAACAGATGCTTTCTTTGTTTAAAATATGAGTAATATCAATTTAACTTTATTCGTTTGTTTATTAATTTGCAACAGAGATATTTTGTTGTAACAAGATCTCCTTTCTTGGGAGGCCTGCCAGCCATGAGAGCATCTGAAGTGAGATACAGTGTGGAAGCCATTGTGGTCAACCCAAACAACGAGTGTCCATGGAGATACCTCCGAGGTCTTTACAAAGACGATATTGAATCATTGGTTAATGATCGCGAGATCTTATCAATATGTTTGAAGGTAATAAACACGAAAAGCGACTACATTTTCGCACTGAAAATGCTTCTCGATCTTCTTTGTTATGGCTTTCAGCCATCTCAAGAGTTAAGAGATGCTGTAGTTGCTCTTTGGACTTCAGACACTCGCCCGTTAGATGCTGATTTGGCAACGGCAATTTGTGACATCCTGGAACACGTGGACTCCTTGAGGGCAAGCTATTGGATTTGGCGCAAAAACAAGCTTCGTATTGCAGCCTGACGTTGATAAGTAGAAACAAGGGTGATTAGGTGAACAATGTTTGAACATCTTTTGCTAAATTGCAAAAATTCTGTGTTGTTGGTTTATGCATGGATTAGAAAGCCGGGCCTGTGCAGTTGGTTGAACCGATCGTTGGTCAAACTGGCACTAAACCGGATCAAGCTTGTAAAATTATTGTTTTATATATTTTTTTATAATTTTATTTGTAAGGATGAGATTTGAACCTTTAATTACTTTGTTTTATGCTGAAACTTATACCATTAAGTCAAATCCATACTTATGGTAATTAACTAATTGCGAACTATATTCAATATTTATTGAACTTCGTATTTTTATTTTGATTCATTGAACTTGGTATTTAAATAAAGAAAATGCAATTTACATTGATTTGGTTAGGTAACTGGTTGAACTGGAATCAGAAGGCTGATTGGTTTAATCTACTGGTCCAGTTTTTCCACATTGAGTCTCTTATTACTTTTATGCATTTTTTTTTTTTTTGGAACAATAATTAGGTATATTACTATTGCAAGTAATCTGTCATCAAATAACAGACGCATCAAAAGAAGACACACAAATGAAGTAAATTTCCTCCATGTTGCTCCATTTTATCTTTGAATTGCTTTGGCATTTCTTCAATCCTCAATTCTTGGAGGGTTGTAATGAACCTCAACCCGTCTGGAAGCATCTTCAGACTTGGATACTTATAAATCTTCAAATGGCGTAGAGCATGCATTGCTCCTTCTTCCACCTTTCACTCCTCCAAGGCATAAAGCCAAGAAAGTTTTAGGGACTCAAGTTTAAGGAAATATGGGTCAGAGCAGACCATTACCTTTCCCACGAAAGCAAAATGTAATTCAAGAATCCTTGGGTTGCGCAGCTTCTCTACATTGGCATAGGATCTTCCTTAAGGCGGCTGGAATCCAAGCGAATTACAGTGATATTTGAAGGAAAATGGTGATACTCCGGTAACTTGTCCATCCACCCGATTAAAACCAGCTCACACAGATTAACACAGCTTGAAATGAGGTGAGCTACTAGTTTTAGATGTATTCTCTCTCCAGTCATGGATAAGAATCGAAGATGTTTGCTTGTGATGATTGGCAGATTCTTATCCAAATACTCCTCAAAATCTTCAATATCGAAGCCCCCACACTTCTCCAACTTTCTCAGAGTTGTTAGCTTGGAAATATCTCTAGCAAAACAATTCCATTTCATAAAGCTGACGAGTGTTTGAAGGTTTCTTAGTGTGTCCAACCTGAACTTGGTCTTGTTAATCTGACGTGCATCTGGTAGGTAGAGATATCTCAACTGTTCCAACTTCCATATCACATCCGGTACATAAATGTCAGCACCCCAACCTGATTTGAAATCCAGCGTTTGCAGACACTTTAAGTTTCCTAGAGATGGTGGAATCCTTGCACGATATCAACAAAATCCCCTTAAATTCAAGAATCTCAAGTGGATGAGATTACCTATAGCGTCGTACTTGAATGGGTCACGGTCAGAATCAGATACTTGAAACTCCAGGACTCTAAGCAATTTAGAATTGTTCAACGAGGATGTCCAAGATCCTTCATCTTCATGGCATAGGTAAACACGCAGCAGTGAATTGCAATCGGAATCAGCCTTGTTAAATGCACCTTCGTCAGTTGGATTAGAAAAGAACAATATTGATCTCAAACTAAGACTTTTAATGCACCGAGAGGCAATGGATTGATGTGCAGCAATTCTGCTAGCTGGAGGAAAGGAGGGATCGCCAATGATGCAGGCAAAATTATCCTTCCTCGCCATGACAAACACAGATCCCTCGTCAGATCATGCATGCGGCATGTTTTGATCTTGCCAATGGGGTCTCTTTCTCCAACTTGAACCATGCACCGTTCCACTAGCTCAACTAACCAACCTTCTGCAACATCCTCCATCATTTTCCCTTCAATCTCCTCTGACGAAACAAAGCCCTCCGCAACCCATAGCTGAATCAACCTTTCTGCCTCGATCTCATCATCTTCTGGGAAAATACTTAAATAAAGTAAACATGGTCTTAAATAGGATGGCAAATCATCATAACTCAAGGCTAACACATCCTCCACGTGTAGGCCTTTGCCTCTATGCAGATATGACTTGACATTTTCAAACACCATTTCCCATTCATGTACTGAGTTCCTGGTATACCCAAAATGCCGTCCCCGTGCCTCCTAGACGGCAGCCCTGCACAACGATTAACCATTTCCTTCCCTAATTCTTCCTTTTCTACATCAACTATGTTTTCTGTAGAATCTCTGTCGGGAAATGCAATTACTCGAAACAATTCCCAGTTTTTTTCGTCATTTAAGCACTGTAATTCATACAGGAGGCCTCTCCTGTCTGCATGTGAAACAATCTGTTTGTTTCGAGAGGTGAGCAAGAACTTGCTCCTGCTATCCCTTGCAGTCGGAAAACCAGGCTTTAGAAGATCCCAAGCTTCGGTAACCCAAATATCATCGAGAAACACCAGACACTTTTTATTCTTCAAGTAGCTGAACAATTTCCTTGCTAACTCTTCATCACTATCTTTGCTACCTCTCTCGTTGATGGAGGTAAGGCTGGTTAAAATGTCTTCCCAAACTGCTCTTTTCTGGAACTGCTGAGAAACATAAACCCAAGCCAAGCTATCGAAATGACGGATGACACGGTTGTGCCAATATATTTTCTTTGCTAGAGTGGTCTTGCCTAGACCACCCATGCCACAGACACGACCTTGGAAGCTTGTCTCATCGACAACGAGTGACACAATATTCTTGATATCATCATCCAACCCCACGACCCCGTCGATGATACAATGATAAGGCCGCCTTGCTTCTTGTCTCTCATTCGAAGAACTTGAGCCTCTTTCATCCATTAATCTTCTTATATCGTAAGTCTGAAATCATCGAGCCAATTCAATGATTCTGGTAGTAATTCTCTCGATCTCTGACTTGGTTTCATGGCGCACACATCCCTCCTCCATGAAACAAGCGGATCTTTTGATGACGCCTTGTTTCTTCTTGGATGCAACTTTGAGGTAAAAATTCTCAATCACATCCTCGACATCACAAGCCAGCTCTCTGATTTCAGCAACACATTGACGAACCACGTCGTCGTCAAGTTTTGTTTAATCGGCTGCTTTTAAGAAGCTGAGCATCAACCCGAGCTCCCTTCGTAAACTATCAACTTGGTCCCCCACGTCCAATAGGGATATTGCTTCTCAAACAATTACATCGCCAATTGTTTTGAGCAAAGATGATACACCTGAAAAACCATGAGGTTAACACTTTTTAGTTTTTTCAGTGACCAAAGATAATTGATCTTTTGGAAATTCTGTTTTTGATAAGTTCAATAATGGGTGTTGGATCAAAATGGATAGAGTTTTGGGTTGTGGAAGAAGCTTAAGTGATCCTCACGGTGGAACGAAGTATTGAGCAATGTTCAAAGTATAAAGTCCTTGCCTGGGGAACATGTTTAAGTGATTCCCATGGTGGACCAAAGTATTTGGCAAAAGAAATTCGATTCTTTCCTTTTATGCATTCTAGACCGCGAAAGGATTGAGTTTATGTACTTTTGTCTAAATGTAGAACACTTAAAAAAAATGAAAGGTTTGGGTGTTTTTGGTTGGCATCTAGCCACTGATAGTTTAAGAATAGGATATCGTCTGTTGCAAGCAGGTCTGGGTGATGGGAAATGTCCCCTTTGTTTTACTGGTTATGAGACTGTGTAGACGCGGCAACCACTTTGTCTGATGCAGATTCTTCCTCGGTCTCAGTTTTTCGATCTATTCGGGATTACATACTATGTGGATGCGACGTAGTTTGTTTGTACATGAGGGGAGGTTGACTCCAGAATGGCATTTGATCTAGGAATCTCGCGCTATACAAGCTGCTTATGCATCATGCTGGTCCGGATCCATTTCTCTCGCTCTCACGACCATCTTGATGGAGTGACGCTCAACCATAAAGATAAATGTCGACGCCTCGACGGTGCAGTCTCATCTACGGGGTTGCTGGCAGTAGAGCTTATTGCTCGAGATGAAAGTGGTATGGTGATCACTGGTTAGGCCCTTTCTCTGGATGTGGTAGGTGAGGCATGTATTGCTGAAGCTTACGCGATAACCATTGGTCTTCAACTGGGTCTCACTTTAGGTGCAACACAGATTCTCATCGATAGTGATGCGACAAATCTGATCCGGTAACTTCAGCGTCGAACACTGGAGCTTTCAGTGGCTTGCTTTCACCTTGAGGAGGCCCTAAGCCTACTAGAAGCTCATTCGAACTTGAGAGTCATCCATGTCTGACGCTCTGTAAATTTAACCTTACACACTTCAACCACATGCACATCTCACTCCCACTCGTCTCTTTATTTTGATTATGAATGCATTGATTTTCTTCAATCAATTGTATTAACTAATGCTATTTATGGTTAATGCAAATATCTTTTTTCAAACAAAAGAATGAAAGGTTTTATTGTGAATGGCTGATGGGATAAAAATGACGATGATGTTCTAGAGAGGATGTCCAGGTTGAAGATGATGGATGATTTGGTATCTCAGATCAATTCCTACATAAATTTAAGTGATAATTATAAATTTATTTTAATATTAACTTGATAATGTTTTTTGAAAATTCACTTTTGGTATTTACTTGAGCCAAAAATATAATTAAATACATTTGTAATCTATTTGATAAATTTATTTTAATATTAACTTGATAATGTTTTTTGAAAATTCTACTGCAAATGCGCATATGAAAACTGCATATGAAGACTGTTCAACTATGTATTTATTTATTTATTTATTTATTTATATATGCATTGTATTTTATCTTTATTTTTAATTTTCTGACAGCCGGAGGTCTTCCACGGAAGCTGCTCTCAATCTGGTATTGGGGGCAGCCTACTACCCTACCTCCTCTTATCTCATTGTATATGGGAATAGGGTTTTGTTGTTGTTGTTGCTGAGAAATTAATAAATAATGAAAATTTTATAATTGAAAATACTTTTTAAAAAATTATTAATTAAAAAATTATTATTAAATATTTAAAACAAATATTTATTAATGATAAATATTATTATTAAATATTAAAATACATAAAATATCTTTTATTTAATAAAAATAATTTCATAAATTGTTATCGAGAGTGTTTAATGTACCAAACATTATTAATATAAAAATAATTTAAATTTTGTTTTAAAAATATTTAGTAAAAGGGTACATGAGGTCGCTATATTTTAAAAAAAAAAAAACTAATGTGATCCTTTGACCAACAGTTTTCGTCGTTGACCATTACGATTCTAATAGACACTTCATGGTACTGACGTGGTAGTCCACGATAGCTGGTGACATGGTAGATAGGTTAAATTGATTTTTTTTTAAGTTTGAGGGCCAAATTGTTTTTTTTAATTCAAGGGTTTATTTTTTTTAACTAAAAATATTTTAAATTTAAAATATACTTCATGTGTCTCATTAAAATTGTCTCTTATTGATAGTTAATTTTTTAAAACTTTGACCACAATTATTTTAAATATTTTTAAAAATTAAATTTTATAAAATATATTTTAAAACTACTTAATTGAATATTTTTAAAATATAGTTTTTCACTTTTTTATCAATAATGAACTTTAAATAATAAATAGTCAAAGTTCAAAAAAAATTGACCAAAAAAATTAATAGTGGACATTTTAAGTGGGACCGATGTACTAAAAATATTAGAAAGTTAAATATAAAAAATTCATTAATTATTAGTGTTATTTATTAAATAAAATATAAGTTATATTTATTTCTAAAATATTATTATTTAATTTAATTTAATTTACTATTTTATTTTTAATTGAAATCACAAAATTCAACTTTGTCATTTTTTGCGGCACTCGTTACTTACATCATTCTCAAATCATATATGAGGTGTGATTCACTTAAATTACTTATACTAGTATAAAGTTGAAGTAATTTTATATAGATTAATATTTTGATAATTTGATGGTCATATTTATATTTTATTCACTTAAATTATACATTGATAAACGATAGAGTTTTAGAATAATGTAATAAAGATCGGACTGATTCATAGTTTTACATATATAGCAAGTATATTTATATTGACATTTGACAGTTCGGATTAATAAAATATTAATTATACGAAATATTATGCTCTACTTCCGGTAGTTGTGATTTTAATTATCCTTATTTTTATTTACACACGAACAATCATTTTGGATTAGTGAAAAATAAAATAGTAAATTAAATTAAATAATAATATTTTAAAATTAAATATAAACTATTTTTTAATAAATAGTTCTAAAATTAACGATATTTTATATTTACTTTTTTTATGTTTTACATTTAAAATATTTTATTTTAAAAAAATAAATAAGTCTTTAAACTTTAAAAAAATCAATTTGGCCTTCGAACTTAAAAAATAAAAATTAATTTAATTCATTTGTCACGTCACAAGTCACAATAAATCGTTATGTCAGTACCGTAAAATATCACATCAATATCGTAATGATTAACGACAAAAATCGTTAATCAAATAGTCACATTAAGTTCTTTTTTCTAAGTTCAAGACCACATCTAGTGTAAAAAAAGTTTGAGGGTCACATTAATTTTTCAAAAAGTACAGGGGCCTCAGGTATATTTTGCCAAATATATTTTTATTGAATAATAAAATGGGTAACAGAATTGGGCTTGAAATTATTGTTTCGCAATGCTTTTTATTGAAAAAGTATAGGGGCCTCATGTATATTTTTAGAAAAAAATAACTTTAGCGATCGAAAATATCTTTTAATATACGATTTTAACTAATTTTTTTTGGATTTGCAAAAATAATCAACAAATTCATAACGCGAACTTTTATTTGTAACTCGAACTTCTATTTTGTAACTCGAACATAAAAATTTTCACAACGCGAATTTCATTTTCACAACACTAATTACCGAATTTCATGTTTTTAAATTGGCGAATTCAGATTTTTGATCGGATTTGAAAACTGTGTTGTAAAACAGGAGTTCGCGTTACGAATTTTTTGATTATTTTTACAAATTCAAAAAAAATTAATTAAAATCGTATATTATAAAGGATTTTCGGTAACCGAAGTTATTATCTCATATTTTTAATAATCGAATAAAACAGAAAAAAATTATTGTTTGGCAATGGCTTTGGCTTGGCAAATTCAGTGCACTGCTTCACCAATACTCCCTTCTCTTACCTTCTTCAAACGAAAATCTTCTTCAACCACCTCTCTCTCTCTCCCGCTCACTCGCTCTGTCCGCTTACGCTCCACTCACGCGCCGTCTTCTAGTCCCGTCTCCGCTTCCCTCTCCTCCGTCGAATTTCCCACCTCCGTCGACGGTCTTGGTCACAATAAGACGCCTCTCCTGGAAGTCAAAGGCTTAACTGCTGTGATTGCTGAAACCAAGCAGGAGATCCTCAAAGGCGTTGACCTCGTCGTTAACCATGGAGAGGTCAATTTGAATCTATATTTCTAGTACTTTAGTTTGTGTGAATGAATTTTGTTGCATTAGACTGTTATTTTAACTAAATTCTGTTTGTTTATTTTTATTAGATCCATGCTATAATGGGAAAGAATGGCTCCGGGAAGAGTACGTTTTCTAAGGTCAGCATTTTCTTCACTTGTATTCAAATATATAGATGTATATATTATAAAGCAGTTTATAGGTAGAGAATAGGCTAAGAGATGCACACGACCATATAAACCTACTGAGCTAAATCTCAAATTCATTTAAGTAATCGTTTCCCTTATCTTAAATTGGGGTGTGAACGCAAGTTATTTGTATTTGGTCAAAACAGTCTGGTTTCTGAATTATTTATTGGAAGATCTTGACAGAATTTGTGTATTATAGGTTCTTATTGGGCATCCGGATTATGAGGTGACTGGAGGCAGTGTTGTGTTTAAGGGAGAGAATTTGCTTGACATGGAGCCGAAGGAAAGGTCTCTTGCCGGACTTTTTATGAGTTTTCAGTCTCCGGTTGAGATCCCTGGTGCATTATTGACATTTTCTTGTTCTTCTCTTTTAATCAATAACAAAATGAGAAGATCAAAAGTTTCCATGGTTAAGTTACTTATAGATTGTTATTCTTCTAATTTATAGGCTCTTAAATATATGGAAAACACAATATTTGTGCTCTTGTTATTATTGATTATAATACTCGCATCATTTTACACTTGCAGTTCTATGCTTATATATATCCTAAACTTGATCTCGTGAACATGAAGACTGACTTCCTTAACCGAAATGTCAATGAAGGATTCAGTGGAGGTGAAAGGAAGCGCAATGAGATTTTGCAGCTTGCGGTAATATGATATAACTTCTTGGAAATTTCATTATGGAGTCGTTTTGTGTGTTTCATCTATTGGTTGATAGATCAATATCTTTGTGTCAATCAATGAAACTGTATCTCTGTCTTCATTTGCTAGTTGCGAAGGCAGATTCTCATTAGAACTTTGAATTGCAATTCACAGCTTAAATGGTAATGCAATTTATGCTATTTTAGAATTTCATGGATGGCTAGGATTATATGTTATCTTTATAGTTTTAATATAGCGTTAGAATTTAGCTGCAATTTATGCTATTTTATAATTTGTTTGTAGATTCTGTTTGGTATATGTCAGCGGATCTTATTTTAGAGTGTGATTGCAAAGTGGTGGTGAATTGGTTGAAGGATCCAATTTCAATTCCATCGGAATGGGCGTCGATTCTTCGGCCGATTGCTGCAATGTTTTGTCGAGGAAATTTCAGTGTGAGACATGTCCCTAGGAGCCGAAATTTGGCAGCAGATCATTTAGCTAAGCTTGCTTCTGGTTCTTATTCTGGTTGAGGATTTACTTATGTGGTGGTTTGGTCGTTCTGCTGATATGTATTGGCAATGTACATGGCTTGTTTGACTTTTTTTGTGGTGGCTGTTCCTAGTTGGATTTAAGGGTGTCTTTGGTGGGTGTTGCTAGCTCTTGTGGTCATTGCCTGGGTGCACTCTTTTTCTTCCATTTAGGGTTAGGGAGGTTTTTTAATGAGGCCCCGGGCAATGCATTTTATTTTCAAGCAATAAAATAATTTTTATTTCAATATATATATCGTGTTAGGATTGAAGTCCATATTCCTAGTACAAATAAGCTGTAAAATAGATTCTCATGTACATTTTTATTTTCTTTTAGTTATTAGACTACAGAAACGAGAGGATTTATGACACACCCCACAAACCCCCCCCCCCAAAAAAAAGTAAAAAGTTGCAACTTTCATCTTACTTGTTTTCAGTGATAGTTCTATTGATTTGCTGCTGTTTTCTCCTTAAAACGGTGGCTTTATGACCCTTTCTCTCAAGAATTGCAACTTTCATGTTGCTCATTATAGTTCTATTGATTTGCTGCTGTTTTCTCCCTAAACCACACCACATTCTATGGATGTTTTCTTGCATGCCAAAAATATAGAATATAGGTCAGGTTGTTTTGGATCTTTGAGTTCAAATCCGTGCTGCTCCTCTCCCCTAAGAGAGAGAGGAGAGATTGAGGTATAATTCTGAGTTATTGTAGGTTTGTTGGTTGCATGATGCATAGAAGCTAAGAAAATCGTTTTTTTCCTCATCTCTATATTTTATAGGTTCTTGGAGCAGACTTGGCTATACTTGATGAGATTGATTCTGGACTAGATATTGATGCCCTTCGAGATGTAGCAAAAGCAGTAAATGGCCTTTTGACTCCGAATAACTCAGTTTTGATGATAACTCATTATCAACGATTGTTGGAGTTTATTAAACCAACATTCATCCATATTATGGTGAGTCATTTAGAACTCAAAGCACTGATCAAGTGTATATTATGTTGATTTTCTTTTGACGCAGGAGCTTATATTATTATAATATTATTTATTTCAGTTCTATTAAATATTAGTTATTTTGGATGGCTAGGATTATAAGTTTCTTTTATGTTTTAAATTAAGGGCTAGGATTAAATTATCTTTCTAACCCTAGTATAAATAAGCTGTCAAAATATTACAACCAGTCAACCACAACTTATCATGATTGTTGTCTTTGAATTAAAGAAAACTAGAGGTTTCCTTTAACCTCCAGTTTTTCTTGAGTTCTATCCTCTTTCCTACTCGTTTGTTCAGCCTTATTTCTTTTGATTACTATTGTTTTCCTTCTTACCCACACCATCTTTTCTCTGGAAAATTGGTGAATGTGACTTTCTTGTGGGAAACTCTCAAACCAAATCTCAAAGCCCTTTTTCATGGTAACTTTATGATTCGTATGGTTTGTCCTCCTTGGCATCTCTTATAGTCTTAGAAAGATATCAAACTCAACACAAAATCAGTAACTAACAAAATATAAGCTGAGATTTTGGCTGAACTATAGACTACGTATATTGGCTGATATTCATGATTGCAAGTGATCAGCAAATTAACTTGTGTTTCATAAGTCCACCTGTCTCTTCTCCGTTTGATTGTTGTTCGGGAAATTGTACCCTATTGGATGAGTCTATCTTATTTTGATTTGTAGTTTTGATACTGTTAATCGCCTTTGTATGCTCTAATTAGGTACTGGGAGCATCTTAAAACAGTACCGGACTTAAGAAATCGTTCTGCTTTGTTTAACTGGGTTCCTTGAGTCTGTCTTAACCAGAATTTCTGGACATCCTAAGTTGTATTGTTGTTTTTTCTTTTAATTTTTATTTAGTCACACTTCTAACTTTTATATACTTCAGATTTCATCCTATCTAGTGTAAGAAAATATCTTTGTCCTGATCTGATTAAGTTCTAAAAAATATTTCCAGGAGGACGGAAGAATCATAAAGACAGGAGATAGCTCCTTAGCCCAAGTTCTTGAGGAGAAAGGCTATACTGCAATTTCTTCTGCATAGCATAAAATTTTGAATCTGTACACGCCGTGTTATTACTATCTGTTTGATTCTCGTAAAACTTGATATACCATTGTTAAATCAATTTAGCTTTGTTTTTCAGCCTCTGCTCCACTGTGAACTACAATGAGAATTCAGGTGATCAGGTTCCACCATCTTTTAAAAGGGAGCATGGAGCCTCAACCCTTAGGTATGAACAATGGTGCCGTATACTGTTTTGGTTTAATATTTAACGGACCTCTTATTTTCATGTGAGTTTTAGGGTTTGCCCACTTGGCGATTGGGAAATTAGGGTCTTTAGAAAGTAATAATTTGTTGCTACTACATTTTTTGCTGATCGTATCTATTTTTGAGCTGATGAAAGTCGTATGGAATTATACCTGTAATCTGATTATTGTATTAATCTGATACTTCGACTGCAATTATTACAGCCTTGTTGATGTTTCAATTGCACTGCCTGTTTTTAGTTGTCATAATCTGGAAATTGTACTTTGAAACCAAGTTGATTAACTTGGAACTTGAGTTTAATTGTTAATAGGATTCATGAGTTAAATTGATATTTTATCTGAAGTAAAAGGTTAAATTAACATTTTATATAAAGTTTAGGAATCAAATTAATATGATGTCAAATTTAGAATTAATTTTTTTACTAATATATCATACCATCAAACTAATGATATTTAACACCCCGAATTATCAAAATGAACCAAAATGTTATAAATTGATAATATAAGTGATTGAAACATTATAATTATTATAATATAATTTTTTTTATTTAATGATCAAAAGTGAACACTTACAGAACGAAAGTCACCAATAATTTACCTATATTAACTTCTCATCAACTTTTGATTGTAAATATATATTCGATTTGGATATGTTTGATTTTATCATGTAATTAGGTCATGTATTTGAACTCAAATCTATGATTTGCATAAAATTGCAAGAAACAAAGGAAAATGCAAGTTATTTACATAAATGAAAAAATTGTAACATAAAGGTGATTCAGTACATTGCTTGATAAAAAAGTTCAGAACACCAATGGTTTCTACAACCAAGAATGGCTGAAACTGCTACTACCATCACAATTGACATTGCCATGGCATCATAACATGTTGAGCAATGCCTAAACCAGTCCAGCTTCGGGTCCAAACGAATCCTGCCACCTCGGTGCAGCCGTCTTTGAAGTAAAACTCTCACTAATTTAGCTATTTTCCTGTCAAACTTATCGAACAGATTCATCAATAACGCGAGAGTATACACAAGCTTTAAAAGTGAAACCGGTTCGAAAGCACACAATGTTACCTGTGAAACAGAAACTCAAAGTGATGGTTATCATAAGGATGGACCAACATGGCCTTATTGAAGCTACAGATGAGATTGACCTGCAGATAACACCATCAACCATGTAAGAAAGGAACAGGCATGCGATTAATCAGATATTTCGTTCCGAAAGCTATAAATTCTTTAATAAAATGGGAATTGCACATTATAGGTTGTTTTTGTTTTTCTTGTCTCGATTTTTAGTAATGGTTTGGATTTGTTACGAACAAAAGCTGTTTTTAGGACTGCTACGGAAGTTATGCAACTTATCGGACCAGGCATTCTAACACAGGACATTCTACGTGGGGGGCCAAGAGGGCCAGCCGTGACATTTCATTCACCGGCAGGAAGTTTCCATATGATGCATGCATGAAGAGTTATCAAAATAGGTAATGAGGAATACCTTGAAATAATGCTCGTGCCTGAATCGGTTTTAAGTCCGAATCCAAAGGGGAAGAGTGGATCATAGTGTGAATCCCCAACATTCATCGGTAACTGATCTACATTCTGTAGTCCCAGTAAAGGACATCGGTCACACCTAGGCCTTCAGTGCCCGGTAACCAAGCTGCCACTAGAGCATCAATGGCAGAAACATATGGTTCAATCACGATGGGTCTGCCCGAAATAATAATAGTCACACACTTGACATTTCCACAGACATCGTTAATGACGCTTGGGCCAGGGTCTATCATCGTAAGGTCTGCGCTATCCCCTGCAGTCTCGGCATAAGGGGGCTCACCAACAGCAACGATTGCAAAATCAAATTTGTTAGATTTCACAAAGTTGGCATCAGGGCTTTCACGGTAAACAACTTCAGTACTCTGATCGACAGTAGATTTTACAGCACCAAGGATTGTCGTTCCTAGTCACCGAAAAGATATTGGTAAATTTATTGCAATCGAAAACTTGGAAGTTGGCCAGTCTTTTGAAAGATTAATAAAGCATACCCCTAGTGGCGTTATTGCCATCAAATCCTTGCCAATTAATTGACCATCCACCACATTGAAAACCCAAATTATCAGCATGAGTGCCAGCAACTAGGATCTTTGAAGCTTTCTTCGGAAGAGGTAGTAGCGGAGTACTTCCAGGTTTCCCATTCTTCAGCAATACAAGCGATTTTCGCACAGCTTCCCTTGCCAAGTCTCGGTGTACCTTGATAAGTAATGGGATATCTTAGCATTTATAGAATGAGTTTTACAAAGAACACTTGGACGATGATTCGTAGAAAGTTAGAAAGAGCAACAAATAATGATTTCAGATCTATATATCCGAAGAAAACCGGATAGAGATGAAAATAATCTCGCATGTTATGTGATGCTAACTAACCTGGCTTCCAAGCTCAGGAACTAGACTGAAATCAGCCATAGGGTTCTCAAAGAGTCCCATAGTGAATTTGACTAGCAAAATTCTTTGCACTGCATCATCGATGCGGTCCATCGGAATAACTTTACTATTCGCTAGATCGGTTAGATCATGTACAAACTCTGTAAGGTTGTAGGGAACCATGACCTGCAGAAATATAAACCAAGAGACTTCAAATCTTAGAATAGCAAAGATACTGTCAAGATTCGAGTTTACACTAAATTATCGCAAGAAAGAGTTATCTTCAATCTTATTTGAAACATGTCTATACAAAAGCTACTAACCATGTCGATGCCGGCTTGGATCGCTGCTTGAACAGAGTATGTATAGTTCAAATGTGGTGGTGAGGTGATCTTGTCTATTCCCTGCCAATCTGATATTACGAAACCCTGAAAATCCATGGAAACAACAATTTGTCTCAACAGGAACATATCAAGTATAACTGTAGGTAGGTACTACTGATGGAAAAGAAAATAACAATAGTACAATGCAACAACGAACAAACATAAAAACATGTTTTGGTCCAATATTTTAAAAGTTTACGGAATTTTAATTATGTTTTAAATTTGCAATTTTTTTGTTACCGATAAAGATCTGTAACAGTGCTCAACCTTAAACTTAAGAGTGTTCTTGAGAAAACCAGAAATTAGCTCACAGTTTGCATGCATCTTTTGTCCATTCCAGCTTGAGTAGGAAACCATGACTGTTGAAACACCCTTGATAATCGATTGAGCATATGCAGGCATGTACGTGCTAAGCAACCCATGCATGTCAATCACAGTGTTGTTTTCGTTGATGCCCCGAGTTGTCCTGCCATCGCCTACAAAATGCTTAGCACAAGCCGCAACCTTGTCCCTGACAGAACCGAAGAACATAATAAAGATGGAAAATAAGATGGGACACATCATATTAATAGTGAGACATCATTAGTGATGCTGTTCGAAACATAGGCTGCAAATTGTACTATTCGTGAATAAAAAGAAGAATAGATAAACCACGATTTCACAAGGCATCCAAGACAATTGAAAAGGGAAAGTAATGCATGACTGAATATATGGACTTGTCTAGATCGCTTGATTTGGAACTGTAAAAGTGAGACAAGGTGCATGAGGAAAATGAGGAAATCCATGGCATTAAAGGACACTTAGAAGAGTAACTCTTCGATGTTAGAAATGTAAACAACGAAATTCTAAAGAGAATATACAATTATACGGTATGAAGCATGTTAACTTGGTCAAGTTTCGTACTTTCCACCGACATAGGGAACCCCCTTCCGTGAACCAGAAGGAATATCTCCTTGCAGACCAACTATGATATCTGTAATTTGTTCCACAACTTTATGATCCTCACTGTAGCTTTCATAACATCGACCCCACCTTGGATCTCTACATACCTATAAAGAAAATGTAGAGAGAAAAACGTTGTATTGTGACTCGGTGAATTCAAATGCAGTTAGCACCTTAGATAAGTTCAAAGAAATCACTGAACACAACTTTCTGATTTTATAAAAAATATGTAAGTTACCGCAATGCATGGAGCAAAGGTGTAAGGAATCCCGGTAGCTCTCACTTCAAGAGCAGTTGCAGCACCAATCTTCTTCACCAGATCAGGATCTCTGCATATCCATAGTTGTTATAAGATGCAGATAGTTCATTCTATCCTTCCTTTCAGGAAAACAATAAGTTTCTCAAATGAAAACATAAAATGATCATTTAGTTTTAATGGAAACTGTTATTAATGCGGTCCCTTTGATTTCTTTTGATGGCAAACTAAGCTTCCAACAAAAGAATGGAAGGTTCAACAACGAAAAAAAAAAGCACAAGTTAATGATTCCATCACAAAAATAAGCAGAACCCAAATCAAAAGTTATGCTTGCCTGGTTGCTCCGAGCCCCACATTATGTGGAAATATTGTAGCATTATACACATTGTTGTGTCCATGAATAGCATCAATGCCATAAATCATCGGAATTCCTAAGCGACTCGACAGAGATCCATTTTGAAAACCATTAACCATATTGATCCAATCCTCGGCCCTAGCCTCCGGAAGTGGCTCACTCCCACCACCACTCAACACACTCCCTGTGCAATAAAATAAACCATCAAATCCTGACCGTTAACCAATAGAACTGCGATATCCAGACTTGGGGTCGAGTTCTAAATACAAGTATGCTCAATTTCTTTCTCTAAGATCTTTTTTCATACATTTGGAGGATCATATCTTATGCTCCTATCCGACTATGTCTCTAAAATTAACACTTCAAAGAGAATGCAAAGTCCAGATAACAAAGGCTAGAATTTAAAGAAAACCAAACATGGCAGATCAGAAGATTGATATTTTAATGGCTGCTAGACAGAATGAACCAATTAAGCATACCAAACTATAGTTTAAACCAATAAAATTATGAGTACACAAATACTGTATGTGTATTAATTTCTGTATGTGGTAACTATATAAAAGTTGCGGCTGACCCCATCAACAAAATATAATCAGAACCCATAAAAAAAGACATTGCCAAACACAGTAATCAGAACAAAAACAAAGCATAAAAAAACTATTACCAATGGAGTAATCTCTCAATATCTGTTCAGTAGCAACACTTCGATCAATCCGGGTCATTTGGCCAATCTTCTCGGCTAATGTCATTCTGGACATCAGATCCTTAACTCTAGCAGCTGCTGGTTGCTTGGAATCTTTGTACCTGACATACTCGGCTCCGGCCACCGTTGCCAACCACAAAGCAGCAGCCGCCGCCGCCAACAACAGCAGCTTCACAGAACTCATCCGCATCTAGAAAACAAACAGAAACCCAGTATTTCAGAGACGATGAACATTATAAGTTACTGAAGTTTTCTCGGCATCTAAACAATATTGGCGAGAGAGTAGCTACATCATTAGCAGCTTAACTTGAGAAACCAAAGAACACAGCAGCCATTACTGCTACTACACTGCCTTTAAAAAAAGAGGAAAAAGAAAATCTTACATATGAAAGCAAAATGATGATACCCTTTTAGGCTGAGAACACCAGAAAGTAATATACAAGTGATTAGTGAAGTGCTTTAATTTATGGTTTTGAAAAGTGGGAAGTTGCAGCAAAGTCTTGATTTTTGGGTTTTGGCACTTTCTTTTACTTCAGAGACAGAGGAGGAGAGAAAATAAAGTCTTCCATTTATATGAAGGGTAAAGTACATAAATTATCCTCTGACTATAAGATATTATTTTATTAATTCTTCAAACTATTAAAAATTATAAAATGATCATTTAATTATAGGGAGTTACTTTGTTGAGTCCCTTGACTATTAAAGTTATACAATTATCACCTGACTATTCATTATGTTCCAAAATCATCATTTTTGTTAAAAATTTGATAGTCTTCTGAGTTGTACGTTAATCTACTGACTAAGTTATGATAAAATCTGTTCTCATAATCTCAAACGACTATCATATCTCAATCAACATGTTAATATCCAACTTAGATGAGCGTTAATTTTTTTTAACGGAAAAAGAAAATTTTGGAATATAATGAGCAGTTGAGTGATCATTTTATAACTTTTAATAGTATAGGGAATGAACAAAGTACATCCCTATAGTCGAGGGACCAATTTATAACTTTTAATAGTCAATGGACTCGATAAAGTAATATCTTATAATTGGAGGATCATTTGTGTAATTTACCCTTATATTAAATACAATTAAAATAAAAATGAAATATTTGATAATTATTCACTCACCCCTTGGTGGATTAAAATATAGAATATAAATTATTGGGTTTCAAATTAAAAAGTTTGTTTGAATTTAGTATATTTTAAGTGTGTAAAATTAAGTCAATTGAAATCAATGAAATTATTTAAAATTTAAAATTTAGATTAGGATAATATGACAAAAAACTATAATATTTTATATTTTGAAATACAACAAATTAATTAGAAGAATGTTTTTTTTTATTTTATGAATGTGAAAAATTTAATACTTGATCATTTATTTTTGAGGAGTTTAATAAAATAACATTGATAATTTTTTTTCTATTTTGAAATATATATATATATATATATATATATATATTAAAAACGTGGGAAGTGAATTGGTGGAGGCCTAGAAAGTGGTTGGGAAGTGGGGGGTTTCATAATCTTTCTTCAAATCTTGGCTCTCATTTAGTTCATCTAGTCATCTTTTTATTTTGTTTTTAACCGCTGAATTTGCCAACTATGATTAAAAAAAAAAGTTTATAAGGTTAAAAATGTCATTCCATCATCTAAAATATTAAAATATTTAAAATACGAGTTATTATTTAATGTATTAATAATAATAATAATAATTAATCTGTAAATATATGTATTTAGCGTTTAACATATTTAAATGATACTGAATTCCAACTTATAATCCTTAAATCTAAATCTTAAATAATATACATGACAACAGTAAACCTTGATAAAAAAAATTATGCAAATAATTATCCGCTAATTTTATAAAAAAATCAAAATTATAATGACAATTTACGATCATAATTAGGACATTTCATAAAAACACTGTTTTTGTGGTGATAAATTTTATATTATCTATCCTAATACACATAGTTATTTTTTCTTAGAACATTTAGATTAGTGTTTAAGAGAACCTTGTTAAGTTTAGAATGTAGGGAAAGAATAATGAGATTACCTATTGAGGAAGTTATACCTCTCATATTACTTTATAACAAAAACAAAGCACAAATTCCAAATAAACCCTCAAAACTACCAACAACGGGAATTGCTTTGGCCTAGTGTGCAATCAAACCCCAAATGTTCTTCACGTATATAATATAAATACACACACACACATTTGGTTAAAGCTGTATAATCAACCGCTGAATTTTATTACTTTTATTTATAAAAAAAAGAGAGAGAGAAATTTCGATGAGCACGGGGGGAAGCAGTGGCTTGTCTGCTCAACAGCAGCAATCCTCAGCCGTTCAGAATTTCAAACCCAAATCGGAATGGAAGCACGAAGAACAAGCCAGCTGTTTATTAGTTTATCTTCCTGGTATTCTTTTTTATTTTTATTTAAAATCACATTTTTAAACGTAAACGATAAATAATGAAAAAAATACTTATTTCGACAATTAATTAGTAAATTCATATGATATTACTTTTTTATTATATTATCATTATTAGTTCAAATGCATTAACTTTTAAAATAATTTCTATTCTTTAGAGTTTTAAGTTAGGGTTTATAATTTTAGGGTTTAGGGCTTTAAGTTAGGCGTAAGGTATAAAATGATTCAATTAAACAACTTTGAGGGCTAAATTGATGCGAAAATACCATAAGGGTGAAAATGATAAATTGAATCTACTGCAGGGGTAAAAGTAACTCTTAAGTCATTTATATATCTATTGTAATTACATTTAAAGGCATGATTCATTCCTTTCATGTAAATTATTTTAGTTTTATATTTTTGAAGGATTATTAAATGAACGAAAACATACGCTTGAGATTAACGATAAGAAATAAAAAGACATTTACTGAAAGAGAAAATAATGAGATATTCTCATCCGTTTTTTTCACTTCTCTAATAATGCTAAAAATGTGTAAAACTAAAAATTTTACACGACGTATAAATAGATCTTAACCCAATAAACTATTATGTATTTATATAAATTTTAATTTATGTTGTATTATTTATGACAGATTGATATATTTGTATTTATTCTTTCGGTTTATATCATATTTTTAGGGTTTTTTCCTTTTTATAAATATTCTTTTTAGTTTTTTTTATACTTTACAATGTTACCTTCATTCGTGTTTTATTTTCTAAGTACCTTTATCATATGTAAGGTATTAATATAAGTTTTGACACAATAACGGTTCATAGGACGTTGATTACGGTAAGTTGGTGTATTTTGATATTGGTGGCATTATATCTCCCATTACTTTTCCTTCCGATGGTGTCTGAAATCGCCGATGTTGCAGGATTTGCAGCGGATCAATTGACGATAACGCCGGACTATTCGGATTCAAGTGTCCGAGTCGAAGGAAAGCGTCGGCTTCCTAATAACAGAATATTGCCGGTCGATGAAACCTTCGACATTCCCCAACGTCTTGATCTGTCCAAACTCGACAACCAGTTCGGACGAGGACTTCTCATGCTCAAAATACCAAGAATTCCTAATCTTCAACCCCAACAACAATCAGAGGAGGATAGCACCCAGCTTGATCCAGAAACAACGCCTCCGGAACAAAAACAAGGCGCTGATCGAGCTTCCGTTGACCGAAAAACCGAAGACGAGTCGGTCGAACGAGCAGCTAAACCAGAAATAAGTACTTATGAAGCTGCTGCACCAGCCATGGATGAAGCTGGAGCTGCAAAAACTGATGAAGGAAAACGAGAAATCAAGGAGACGCGGAGTGCTGTTACGAACAATGGTGATGGCACGAAAGACGATGGAAGTACAAAAAGAGGCAAGGAACCAACCATTGAACCTGCAACCAAAGTTGAAGAGGAAGCGAAGGGAAACAAAGAAACGGCGAAGGAAGATAGGGCATTGATAATTAATATGGGGATAGCTGCTGTTGTTCTTATGGGACTCGGAGCTTCTCTGTTGTATACTTTAGGTCATTCGTAAATTGAATTTCAATGAAATGTTAAAAAAATTAAAACAAAATAAACATTGATTTTACATATTAATACAAAAATCAATTAATATATACATTAATCGTTTGCAAAAAGTAAGTACAAAACAATCCGTATGCACGAAAGATACGAAAACAAATAGTGGTACAAAAGGCAATAATGAAGCTGAAAAACATCCGCCGCTGCAGAGAAGCAGATTTCCTGAATCTAACCTGTTTTTGAGGAACACATGATCAAACAACAAGCTTTGTTGTGAGGCCTGCAAATCATATTCGTTCGGATCATAACGATTTCTTTGCATAATCCGCGAATCATTGTTGATCTTCCCGACGTCTTTCTCGAAACCTTTGACATACTTCTTAATGTCTTGTTGGATCTCGCATATTGGACCTGGTTTGGGAGAAAAGGAGAAACCGAGTTTTCGATTCCATTCGTTGTCCGAACAGTTTACGTGTGGCAAAGATACTCCATCAACATCGACGGCGCCCACACATTTGAGTGGCGGATCTTCTACCGATGAGAAGTCGGAGCCGTTAAATGTTGATAGTGAGACACTCATCGAAATAGGCGAGGGCATCATCGGTTAGACATTTCGATATCTTCCTTCTCTCGATACTAGACTGTCACCATATTTAAGTAGAATTTATGTAGAGGAGAGAAAGCAAAGAAGCAAAGTAAAAGACCAACATATCTGCAGATTAACGGTAAAACTCTCAATATAAGGATCAATGATGCAATGTGAGTAAACCGCAGTGAAAGTTACTCTTAAAATGGCATTCACACGAATGAGCGTGCATAGTTCTAGAACAGAATCCAACGAATTCGCTCGGATAAAGAACCCAATAAACTGCATGAACAATTAGCTGAAATGAATATAAGAATCTGGAAAAAAAAAGTTTTCTGATAGGACTGGTTCAATAAACATAAGAACAACTACAGGCATGCATCAGCACAGATAGTGCCTTAATATGTAAAATGTAAAACTGTTTCAGAAAATTGTCTTAAAATTTATATATGCTTACTTTTCTTCATGGACGAGATTTTTTTGTGCCAGAAGCCTTGGCATCTGGAAGCACTTCCTTAAGGATCCTACTAAGCTCCATGCCCTGGTGTTCCTCGACATCTAGGTCAGCACGCTGTTGTCTGGCACGTTCTTGAGACTGCAAATGTAAGGAAATAGGAAATATACTGCTTAAATATTGATTTAGCCACAGTAACTGTAACCCCTAGACCCTGCCTGAATTACATTAAAAACTTTCTAAAACATTTCAGAACTTTGAAATCATACGTAACCAAAAACCCTTAAAATAAACATAATTGAGAGTATTAAGGTTCAAATCAAGAAAGAAAAAAACATAAAACATCATGCATAAACGAAATATCCAATCATCCAGAATCGTACATATTCATCAATCAATAGTAAAACGAAATAAGTCAAAAGACAAATATAACAAAATATGTAGGCATATGTTACCCATAATAAAGACACTATGGAATATGGAAACATTACAACAAAATACGATACAGAATTTGTCGATCCTCCAAGTGTCAAGTCCGGGAGTGTATATCCAAAAGTATCTGAAAGGGAAAAAGTTTTGAGAGTGAGATAGGAAACTCAGTGTGTTCCAATAAGTGCCATATAAAACATGTTGATACATTTCAAATCAGATTTCATAAATCATAGAGTAAAGATGACAATAAAGTGGTAGGAGAATAGGACACCGTTCAAAATCCTCATGCCTTAACTTATTATTATTTTTTTCAGCAGACCAACACCGGTCAAATCAGATAACAAGTCCCTGAAATTTTAGTGACTAAAAATTTTCCCTAAAATTATCCAAAATTTACAAAATAGTCCCTAAAATTTTGAATAAATTCAAATTAGAAACAAATTAAAAATAGGGTTGTTACAACTCTCCACCCCTAAAGAAAATTTCGTCCTCAAAATTTACCTGAAGCAAAGAGATGAGGAAATTGTTCTTTCATTGATTTCTCTATTTCCCAAGTAGCTTATGCGGGGCCATGGTTACTCCACTGGACCATTATCATCGGAATACACCTATTCTAAAGAACTCTCTCATCTCAATCTAAAATTTGAACAGACTCCTCATCATAAGAAAGATTTGGTCTCAACTCAACATCTTCAACCCGGATATGAATGTAAGATAAATTACTTATTTAGTCATTTGTTTTTTTATTTTATCTGTTTATTTTTTAGTTGTATTTAATAATATTACGTTTTATTTATCACTCATAATTATTTTTTATTTTGATTTTTTATCTTCAAATTAAAGTAATAATAATAACATATATATGAAAATTTTTAATATTTTTTATTCCATATTAATAATTAAGTGGCGTTTTCAATTAATTTTATTCAACAAGGTAAATGCTACATAATTGACACATAATTAAAATTAATTAAAATATCATTTAATTGTTGACGTAGAAGTAAAAAAAATTATGAAAAAAATATTACGTTCGTCGTTAATTTTTTAAAATAATCAAAACAAAATTAAAACATCAAATATAATAAAAAAAGATTATGACTAAAACAAAAACAAAGTAATAGGTTAATGACTAAATAGATAATTTAATCTAAAATTAAACGTTATATTCAAGGCTTAATACCAAAATCAGAGCTTAAACTATACCGATTTTTTCAGATAGGTGCCTAAACTAATTTTCACCTCATCCAGGTGTCTAATGTTACAAAAGTTACCAATCTAGGTGTATGGGCCAGTAATGGTGTTAGTTTTTCGTTGAAAGACACGTTTCACAACATGATAATTTTAAAATTTTTGTTTAAAATTGAAAAATAAAATTATATATTTTTAAAAAACTAGAAAACACAAAATTTGAAATAAAATCAAAACTTTGAAAACTTTTATTTCAACCCCTAAACCCACGTCGACCACTGCTTTTTCTATAGACGAAGCTTCACCTGACCTCCCATCCCCTGACGACCAAAACCCCCATAAAATCATGACTGTTCGATGACCTATCGACAACGAATCAACGTTTTAAACCACTCGAACCCTAGGATTAAAATACAATTTTGACAGCCAATTGATGAAAAATATGACGGTGTATAAGTAGGAGGATGTTAGGGACTATGTCGGTGGCAGTGGTCGTGGTCAGAAAGGGTGACAACGATGGATTAAGGTTAGGATTTTGGGGTTATTTTTTAATATAAGAAAAGTTAGTATTTTTTTATAAATATCATAATATTTTTAATATTTTATTTAAAAAATAAATTTCAAAATCACCAGATTGTGACATGTGTCACTTAACGGTAGAAATTAATGTCATTGACGGCCCGGGAACCTAAATGGGTAACAGTTATAACATTAGGCACTGGATGAGACGAAAATTAGTTTAGGCACCTATTTGAGAAAAGCGATATAGTTTGGGCACTTATTTTGATATTAAGCATATATTCAATTATAAATACTAATCATTTAATATGGAGTAAATTATGCATTTTAGTACCTACACTTTTAAGTTTTTTAAAATCGTTCTTAAAATTTAGTTTTTGTTTTTTTATACCCGTCGTTAAAAACTTAACGAAACTAGGGATGGGCATCTAACCCGAACCCGACGGGTTCCGACCCGACCCGATCGAGTCGGGTTTTTTTTATGTGGTGTTCGGGTCGGGTTGGGTTCGGGTTTAGGGTGAAAAAAATCCGACCTGACCCGAAAAAAATATATAATTTTACCCTATATATTTAGGAATAATTACAATAATACCCTCCATATATTATTTTTTGGACAAAAACCCGACCCAACCCATGCCCATCCCTATATGAAACTGTTACAACTTGACACTTTTTATGGTTAAATTACATCATTCATAACTTTCAAATTACTCCTAATTTAATCACTCTAACTTTCAAATTTATTTTTTTATTTTAATTATATGTTAATAAAATAATAATAAAAATATCATGTCACAAAATATTATTAAAAAAATAAAATATAATAATTGAAACATGAACAATTTGAAAGTTGAGAATTTAAATTGAAAATATTTAAACTTTAATGACAAAAATAAGAGTGAAAAGATAATTAAGAGATGAATGATGTGATTTACCTATTAAAAAATGTCGCTCCAAAAATTCTATTAAATTTTTAACGGCATCTTAGAAAAAAAAATTAACAGCGGATACTAAAAATGAAACAAACAAAAATTAACTTCATGTATGATTTAGAAAAATTAAAAGTTTAAATACTAAAACCGATTAAAACTGATAGTTTACTCTTACTTGAACTAGGATTTGAATGCAAGGAAACGGATATGTGGGTTTCCTTTACAAGTTTTTTCCTTATCTTCACAGGATCTTTGAATTCTGTAACAACCGGATTGCATCAAATACCAGAGCTGAAGATGAATACTTCAAGATAAATAAAAAATGGGAATAACAAAAAAATTCATCTCGAGTCATTTTTTAATCATTTTTCACATTTGGGACTCGTATGTGCGTGTCGGTTGTAGATGAAAGTCAAAATACCAAGTAATTTGCCATCATTAACCATAGATTAACGTTCTACAAAACCACCATTGAACATGGTATTCCATACATTTTCCAGTTCTTCTGCAATTAACGGCACCATCCATAGCATAAAAACAAGCTAAAAACATTAAAGATGAAATGCATAGAGAGTTGCAAGATTTTTTGACAAAGATGAGCTTCATTCCGTACCTACTTCAAGAGACCAAGAAAAGTCGGCAATCAGAAGCTCAATAGAAATAATCTCGGCACTTCCAAGTGGCAAAAGCAGCTGGCTGTCCAGGGATCCTTACCAGTTTATACTTGAACATATTACAACCTGACTTCCCTTTCTCGTCCACAACTCTTGGATCTTGTAAAGTCCATCGTACGTAAACCTCGACACTAGATTGACATTCAACCCGTATGACTCGTACTTCATTGCCTCGGTGGAAGCTCCTTCCAAAGCAAGATTGCCCCTTACAAGCTGCTGATCCGATGCTTTTTATCTCTACTCGCACTCC